AGGAAACTGGCTAGATTGATCTTACAACGTCACTTCAACTGGGAGTGTTTGAAATCTTCCAGAGGTTTTGCTGTTTCTGGAATTGTACCTCACCTTGTGGCTGCCTCGCAAATGGGATTTCTGCGTACATGCTTAGTATTCAATTTGCGTTTTCCAGCTTCAGATATTTGGAGTATCTTCTCCAAATTAGGCTGTTGATGAAGTGTAGAGTTTGTAGCCGCACGTCGGTCGGTGGCATACAGTTGAGGGGCTTGATATTTGCAGAACAACTGCAAATATAGACCGGTGGTGCTCTAGCAACCCCGTTTACGAAAACAGTGAACGAACTCAGTGGAGGGGAAACCGGACAGTCAATTTTAAGGTTAGGTTAACAGTTTGAGGTAATCACTGTAGACCGCAAAGCCAGTAATTGACCACAATAGATCATGGTTGTTGGGCTATGGTTTAAATGTGTCAACACACCCACCACGGCGGTGTACGAAGTTGATAGAGTTACAATTCGGGAACGAGGGCAAAGGAAGTCAAACTGGTATACGTTATACAAACCTTGGAAAGCCGAGTCGGATATTGCTCACGTGAGTCATCATGGAGGGTGTTTTATGGATCCATCTAACTTACGGATAGACACAAGGACTGACCTCGAACGCAGCAGTCGCAGTACATATTTTTACCTTGTCTTTACAGTCTTTCTGTAAAGAATCTCGCTTTTTACAACATGAACCCAATTTCAACATTACAATTTCCTGTTTAATAATTTATTCAATTGGACAACCAATAAATATAAACCTATGCCATTACACGGAAGTGCACCTTATGCTGCCCAAACTAACACTGAAAACTCTTATGTTCAGCTGATTTGGGATGAGTATTGGTGACACACGGAAACCAGAATAAATTTCAGTAGCTTGTAGCTCCCAATTGATTAACTCCGTAGAAAACTTAAACTTTCTGACTCGGCTAAAATCACTAAAGTTTACAGCCATATTCTCTTGTATGTAATGAAATAATGACAATATTCGTCAACCCGGAACGTAATAACCTCTGGCAGAGTTATCTGTGAGAAACTCACACTTTCTTCCCCAGGGAGAGATGTACATTTGTGACAAAATGCACACTGTCCGGAGGACTCTAATGCAACGATGAAACCGTCACAAGCATTACGAGATTATCCTGACTCTTTCGCAGAGCTGACAGAAAAAGAAGATATGCACATTTCGTCTTCCCACGGTAGCAGCATGCATTTAACCAAAAAAATGTTATTGGAGATCGTGATCTCCGAATCATCCTCTCAGCTTTTCGGCTAATTGATCTTGAAAGATTTCCTCAAAGATCAAATGGAATTTTAGATGGAGTACTTGCTAAAACATATGTGCTACAATTCGGATTTGGATGAATAAGTTTTTAGAATAACTGACAGTCGCGAGCCATGTCTGCTATGCGGGAAGATAGAAGACTCCAAACTACATGATCGCAGAATTGTACTCCATACCACTGAGTAAATGGGATCATTCTTGGTTTGTTCCTCTAATAGAATGAGTACTTCCATACAATGTGTTAAACTCTAATAGTGACCCGAAGTGCGTGTGATAAAAATACTAACAGTATCTCTCCTGACCCAAAGGTTCAGGAAAAATTTAGGAGACGCAGCACCGAAATTGGCAGTTAACAAGAGGTGTCTCCTCAGTGAAACATCTTACTAGTACATTGTCCTCCGCCAATCCGAAAAACTCAGCAAAACTGGATATGTTTCTCGGCACGTCCAACGGCGTAACCGAGTAGCGGTAAATACAAGTAGGAGTAGGAGTAGGAGTAGGCAGTGTTCCGCAAGGCTTTTCCAATCGTGTTGTTTGAGGCCTTCTGGAAAGATTCACCAATCCCAGAAACGTAACCAAATTTCAGGAAATCCATCGTTGCACAAGTATAATTACAAAACCAGGAAACGTGATTGATTCAATAGTGCAAGTGCTATATCGCTTGAGTACATTATGAGTACTACCAAAGATACATTAGTGCTCCATGAATAAGTGAATAACCCCACCGATTCCTAACCGCAAAGCATGCTGAAATGACGAGGCGATCTTGAGAAGGGGAAGTAGTGTTTATATTGCAATAACATCGGACAGCACTTGACACGCACCAAGATACAGCAGATATTTCGAACAATCTAGTAGAATCCGGTACACACAATCGGATTAAGTGAGGACTGCGGAGCCAACGAACGAAACATTGACACTGATGCATTACATGAGTGTATGAAAGTGGGAATGATATTTGTGATATTGCGTTTGCTTGCTTTCATGAACAGCAATCATATCTAACACAAATGAATTATCAATTCAGCTCACTGAATATGCGCAGGTATGCCCAATTTCGTCACTGGTGGCAGACTAGTTTGTACTTGTGTGTACTGGAACACAAAATAAAAAACAATTAATTTTGGATATATCACATCAGATTTAACATATTTACCGTGAACATTGTACAGATTTCTGAATGACTGATTATAGTGCAGTTAGTCACGGTGACAGAGAAGGGAAAACAGAACAAACGAACTTGACAAGGCTAGTGATTGTTGTGGTGTGGTTGGGAAGACAAAGGTTAGATGGATAACGTTGGGCAGATATGAACAGATTCAAACGAATGTTGTGAGGGGGTGGGATAAAGTTACGTAAGGTTTAGTAGAGACTATATGTCATGCATAGTGGTGTGATTGGGAATGGACACTGCAGACACAAATGAAAATATAGTTACGTCTCAAGATTAAGGTTAATGGTAATGGATGAGGTACCGAGATGGCGGAGAAGGGTTGATGCTCTGTTTTATGCACAAGCGATCTACTGTCCCGGCCAGGTAAACCACAGTGTCGGGAACAGAGTTTGCTTACATAACTCTGGATTGAAAATTAGGATCGCAATCGCTTTCGGCGTGGTTAAGAGCTGCCTTCATATCTCATTGTAATATCTCCGGGTCATAGTGTGAATGAATTGAATTGAATTAAATGCATTCGGTATGATTACAAAATTCCCGCTGTCGACGATATGACCGAGAACCGAGCTGCAAATACATCTAACCGTTCCTTTTTAGAGGGCCACAGGACAGGGCTCAGCAATACGTTTTTATAATTGCCTGATCGTATGTCCAATGTACTGCTCAATACAAGTACACGTGAAAAGATATAAAACCTAGGCTTTCGACTGAATACCTTTTATTTGCCGAGACACCAAGAGCCGAGTGGTAGTGAGAATATGCGGTTGAGCTGTAGGGAACTTTCTAAAGATCACTTTAGACAAACGTCGTTTAATACTGGTGGCAATAGTGTGCGAGTATCGGAACAGACAAACACACAAGAATTATTTTGACAAAAACACATATAGACGCCAAAACCGTTAGACTTCAGACACGGATATTATAGTGTTTCCACCGGATAAAGGGGCCGGCTGGTTGTCACTCGATTACCACCTTAAACTACAGAATATCCTAAGCGATTTCAGAAACGTTTCAACTAGATCGAATGAGAAAGACATGACAGAGCAAGCGGAATATATTTTAACGCCCATCTTGTAAGAACCCAATATAGGGTTTCACGTATCACAAGCGGTTTTCGACAAGGCTGGTCGCGACTGGATCCTCGCCGCCGAGGCTCTATGGATTATCTAAAGTGCATAAAATAAACCTCTGAACAGTCGAATTGGCTAATCCATGCTTGATACTCTAAACAAACAAAGGTACTTTTGAGTGAGTAACGGATTTCATTTGACATTTTCGGTGGGCTGGAATTAGAATATTGGTCCTCCCCCAGTACCACCTAGGAACGCTGTGTCCTCAGTCGTTGAACGAGTCAGTTTTGGACGAGAAATAACGAACCCGACGCAAATTGATCTCTCTTGGTCGGGTGAATAAAGTGAACCACATCAAGAAGAGTCGATAGATCAGCCACCATGCTCAGCCCTAAATTTTCGAATCACTCGTTGCATGAGCTGATTCTGTCTATGTCAACAATAGCCTAGTTTGCAAATTTGATTGAGGCAAAGGTTCTCTTGAATAACACCCATTACTGTGAACCAGACTCATAGACCTAAAATTTTGTATGCATTTAAAGGCATACATGATGTTTAAGTATGGTTTGAACAAATCCCTTATCCATTGGATACTTCGTAGCTCAGCTTTGCTACGCATATTTTCCGCGTTCTACCCTAGTACTTTCAATTTCGAACGACTTTCCCCTCTGTTTTCAAGTCGTCAAACAACATGTTTGATGTTATTGACTCCAATCTGTTTCCTTTTTCAACCGAATGCAACTAATTGTTTTTTTGTTATTGATGATCTTGCAAATTCGTGCTCATGCATGCTCATGTACTCCGGGAATGTGCCTTTTGTGCACGGTTTATTAAAGGTCATACAAACATTGTAATTTTTGATAATTGCTGATCGGTATTATCCTTAGTTTAACTTTGAACTCAACATGATGGTTTGTTTCGCCCGCGGTAATCCCAGGATAGTTAGATCCATTGTTCATTTTCAAAAATAAAGTTACTTATGTGCAAATACTCCGTCGAAAATGGACAATATGTTCTAAATAGCCCAACTAGTGTAGTTTGTTCGTGTGGGATGGTAACTCACAACAAATATGTATACTGTATTAGTAATGTATTTTGCTGTTTTATTAGAAGTATACAGGTTTTTTAAATTTTTGGTTTGATGTTTGCTCCTGGTTTCTTTCTTCTTTATTTCTGCAAATCAGAAACAAAAAATAGGATACTTTGAGTCAATCACATAAACACTGTTTTCTGAATATGTACAATTGAATTCATACAGGATAAAACAACGAAAGAGCTGAGCACTTATTAATGTATGCAACCCACCATAGCTCGCCGTTGATGAGATGTGCAAGTAGTCCTAGCAATATCAGCCACGGAGGGCTGAACGTTGAACCACCATCTGCAATAGATTACGTTGGGGCTGAATTAGTGAATTAGAGCTCCAATCCATCATTCAAAAAGTTAAGCGAATGATTGGTTTACACGAATATCTGGTTGCATTTCACACTCACCCAAGACGTAGTACACAGTTACGTCATCAGATCCAGCTGTGGTTGGTGCTTCTCTGGCTTGCCTTATTATGTGATCAGCAGGAGGAAACGCTCCAGCTTCCTGCGGAGATAATCCCGCTGATGCAGATTTAGCTGCACCATTATCCGAATCGCCTTTTGCTTTCTTCTCCACTTTCTGAGATTCTGGCCCTTTTCCCTTCGATTTTTCTTCATCTGTCCCTGGGACCTTCTGACTCTCATTCTTTCCTCCTGCTTCTTCTGATGGCTTTGGTGATGGAGTCGGTGTGGTTGTAGAAGTTACTGTAGTTGTAGCAGCAGACGTACTGGTAGCGACGGAGTCCGCACNAAGATGCTTTAAACTAACCACATCCACCATTTTTTTCAGTACGTACCATTAAATTTATATGGGACAAAACCATCAAATAAACTGGATGTTTTGCTAATATTTGCAAACCATCATTGATCTCCGTTGACGAGATGTGCAAGTAGTCCTAGGATTAACAGCCAAGAAGGGTTGAATTTGGAAACACCATCTGAAAAAGAATACAAAACAGGTGAATTGGTGAATGAGAGCTTCAGGCACGATGATTCTTCAAACGATGGGAAAAACATCATTCAAACTTTTAATTTGATTGGTTTACACGAATATTTGACTGCTGTTTCACACTCACCCAACATGTAATATACAATCACGTCGTTGTATCCAGCGCTGCTTGGCATTTCTCTGGCTTGCCTTATTAGGGATTTGAAAGCAGGAACAGCCGCGGCTGCCATTGGTGACATTTCCACCGATGCCGCGTTGTGATTTTCCGATTCTGCGTTTTCTTTCCTTTCAGGATCCTGAGATCCTTCCTTTCCTTTTTCTGATGGTGCTTGACCTTTGTGAGTCTCTTCCGTTTCTCCCCCACCACTTGAAGGTGGTGGCTTTGGAGCTTCCGTAGTTGTAGGAGTTACTGTAGTTGTAGCAGCAGACGTACTGGTAGCGACGGAGTCCGCACTCACATCAATCGCCGAGGTGGATGTGAAAGCAGTCATTGTACCTTTTGGACACAGAGTTTCGAATTTATCTCCACTAGTCGCCTTGACACAATTGGTTCCACTCGTCTCCTGGAAGCGAATAAAGATCTTTGTAATGAAGCAATCAATGTTCCAATCGGCAATGTTCCATCTGTAATAGAAAACGCTCTTGTTCACTTACGTTGACGTAGACTTTCACCGCTTTACCGGAATCCGATTTGACACGGTACTGGCAGCCAGTGCCACTCCTTTTTACAACAAAGCTCTTTGCATCGGCAGAGGCCGTAACCTCTTCACATTTTTCAGCTGATGATCAAAAGCATATTTCAGGGAAACTGGGTTACTTACCGACGATATCGCTGATACAGAAAGTAATAAGCAGCAATTTTATGATGATTGATTTCATTTCCTCAGACTTTCAATGAGCCAGGATCCACTGGCTTTTATATTGTGTTTTGCATTCCTTTTGAAAAGATGTCGATGATCAGTTACTATCTTTATTAAGATTCACGTGATTGTGAGACTACTTCAACTCGGATATGTCACAAGTAGTTGCTGAATCTGTGATGCTTGAACATCCTGTGCTGACTGTTTGTGCTCAGTGGCTTAAATGAGCACACTTTGAAGTCACGATTTTTGGAGAAGCGTTTTACACTGGATTTGGGTTTTGCGTTTATGTTATCAATATGAATTAAACAATCAGAAATCGTTCCATCAAACGGTTTTAGCACCAAATCTAACACTTCGTGTCTCAAGGCACGGTTGCTACATGCTTATTTATCCATAAATCAGTTGCGCTCCAATGATTTAGTTCAGTTGTTTCAAGGTACCCATTTGTACCCAGAAACCGTTGCATGTTTCCTCAATTCAAACAGCTAGCCCTCATCATATCATAACTTCCTCCTTCAAAATCATATGACATCTGCAGGTTTCACCTAGAAACTATTGAAATGCAACGATATTCTATAGGTCAAGCGGGTTCGAGCTTTTATGTACCTTCACGGAGTGCATTCGTTTGTTGCCATGCACGTGGCTCGCATTGCTGCGCCCTGAAATCCTCACTAAATCACTCTTCAATAGTGGTCCTACTAATTTAATTTCAGAAGGCGTTGATCGTCGAGGACAACTGTTTACTGACGATTTCAGATGGAACATCAATTCGGCGTAGCAAACACTAACATTTAATCAGAAACATACCCTCGCAGTTCCGTGCTACACAACGACTACCGAATGCAGAAATCGGTGGTTACTGAAGAACGCTCTGACTGATTTTGTTGATATTTTCCATTGAAAGTAGTCAACACCTACGTTACATGCTACTCAAAAATGTCAGTATTAACTCAAAAAGCTATATCTTACGAAATTGTGCTTTAAAAGCTTGTAAACTTGTCTTCCTTGATGCATTTCTAAAATTCGGAATCATAATACAGACTGGTATCCACTTCCACTGTGACCCGCTTATTCCTTCATGACAACTCCATGTCCTTCCAGAGAGGCCACATTGATGAATCTTTGCTGCGTTTGGACGCGCGTAGGACCTTTACGTGATTGTCTTTGGACAATAATGCTTTCTGGGTGAAATGCGTCTAAATAATGTTTCAGATCAACAGTTCTTGCTTAACAGCATGCTTTATTATCCATCGACATCTGACTTAATGTAGATTAGTGACGGAGGAAATACTCAAAATGAGCTTTGGAATCCATCGCAATGAGCTTTTCAGGTGGGACTACAGTATATGAAACCATGGCGGTGTATGACTCATAATAGATTTCTGATCTGCAGATTCTAATACGGTTTCGGGTTCATTCACAAACCTCGGTTGTATCAAGCTGCGACTAACAAATGGAATCAATTATCCGTACAAATGATATCGGGGTAGTTTCACAGCCTTGGTAGAAAATTAAATAACTTCCAATGACACAAATGCTATTTCATTCAAAACCGAAATTATTCTATCCGATATAGTTGACCAGTTGTTTCGTGTAGCTGTCTAGCTAGCACTTACAACATTTCCGACGATTTTCTGGGGCGTTTGATACTTTTCGGCAGTGAGCCTTCTACAGTAATGAACTGGGAATATTTCCCCCTAGTGCAAATGCTAATGAAATTAATCATTCCTTGGAGAATGGCCATGTTTTGCTGTGATTTCGCGATAAAGGTGACTGCACTTAAGGTTAGAAACCGAGTGAAACTTCTTGAGAGATTTGCAAGAATGTTTTCTTATAATAAAGTTGGGAAATAAATACGCTGCACAGTTTGTATCCGGCAATATTTGGCTGCCGACGACAGATCATATTATATTCATGTTCACTGTGAACGCAAACACATATCCTGAATACTTGCATCACTGTCATGTTTCTTACTCAGGCAACGCCAAATTAACCAGTAATTTGTTTTCCTTATACCAGATAGACTCCCTTCAGACCACAAGGAGTGTAAACTAGTGCAGTACAGAAACACGAAGAACGCCGTGGTTTGGGAGGATTGACGCATTGTCTCAAGCAAATCACGTGAGTCGGAAAGGACTAGTGTCTGTCAAATCGGTATGTTTTTGATCTGTTTTCCATTCATTGAATTTTTCGTTATGCGAGACAGAAAAAATACTCACCAGCGATTAACTACACCATGAGATGCAAAACTCGTGGCGATGTAATGTGAAGGAAGCAAAACGAAGCCGACCAAACATTTCGCCCCAAAACAGCAGTTTAGTTACGCAATGCGTTTTGGTTTAAGGTATTTTATGAAATATTAGCTAACTTTATTTGTGCGGGCCGCTTGCGCTCTGATGCTATCCGAAAAATACTTTGTGAGTATGTCTAAGACAGACTTTCGAATACATGATCTGTCAAGAAACAATGAACTTTGTTAGCAAGCATATGGTTCACGTCATTCAAATTAGCTTCCTCAATAGATTATATTTATCGGTTTAATGTAAACATTGAATGGAACTTCTAACAATCAAAATGCGCTTGAACAAACAATTAGGTTTTTGAACCCCAAACATAGATTACTGTGTGGTACCTACGATCAAGGGAACAGAACTTTCCTTTTGATGTCAACTTCAGGGACAATCCTCAGTTAATGGACACAACCACGCACTTGGAACCACCAGTCCATAGTTTCGCTCTTATTATAGCTCATCAGTAGTTCATACTTGCGTGCCCGTCTAGAGTGCAGTCACTTAATTCAACCAATATGAGTTATCCTACACACACTACTCAGAAGTAAATCTTAGTCGATTTCGATATTCCATCAAGTCTGAGAGGTATGTGGCAAGTCAGACCGTCTCCTGCATGGAAGTGCTGAGTTGGGGACAGGCTTTTGACTGGAGTTCACAGGTTGTCATCTATCTCTCTTTGTTGCTTCGGGCCAAATGACTGATGTGCTGTGACTGAAGAAAACACCTGAACAAACATGAATTGGTAATTTGGTTCAGCCATGGCATGAGCTCGTTGGCACAGTGGTGATATACACGACTTCTATGCTATGGGTCCGGAGTTCAAACCCCCGAACAGGACGGTGGGTATGCAATACGGATAATCTGTAATGAGAGCGAAATTAGAATCTAGTTCTTCCGAGTGTTGAATCGATGAAATGAGTATTGTGCGCGGTGGTACGGAAAGAATAGTCAGAGAAATCGTTCAATGTCAATTATCTCACACACTAATGACAAGTAGCTGTGCGTCAAATCCGAAATACAGAACTTGTATGTTTTGCGGTTTGATTGAATGTCATTCACTTGTCTCCTGTCGTTGTGTTATACTCGACTCCACACATCCGAAAATGAAATCAAACCGCATGGGCATCAATGAAACAAATCACCACAGATTAGTGCTGAGCCTTCATAGAAGCACACTGCAACTGTCATCATTGAATGTAATCCTACAAATGTTTCGGGAAACGGCTTCGCTTTTGAATGGCACGGGAATATGAAAGGTATACGTGAAAGTGATAGAACCAAATATACCATGAGAATATACCACACTTTCCATTTCCGTTATGAAACATTTAGTTGGGTTGTAATGTTTCTAATGATATCTAAACTTTGACGCTTGTCTCAATGATGCATCATGTTTGATGGTTGGAATTTACCCGCAAAAGCTGATTCCGCAGCAGAGTGTATGGGGAAAATAAAACAACCATATCCGCTGCTCTGATGCCGAGTGGATAGTATGCTTGCTTTGGTTATGTTGTGCTGTTTAACGCATTTGTTCGATAACATTTGTATTCATTGCCCCCTTGAACGTGCAACATCAATACTCGATACACACACAGACACAGACATACACGCATGTGACATGGACGTTCCTCACATGCAACCTTGATTACATTGACAAATCAGACTGCACCACGTGTATGCTTGGTATTGATTGGATGACTGCAGATTACTCGTACGGCCAGTACCGGCTGAGGGCATGCTTCTGCTAATTTTCATGAATCACATTGCTACCGTTCTCTGTTAATTAAAACAGATTTACTTACGTGTATATTACGAGTTATACTGAATACAACATGAGTTCACGAATTACTCCACCTGCTCCATTTTGGATAGACCGTAACATTCAACCTACTCCAGTGTCCTGGGAACAATGAAAAACTTCGTTTAACAATCATATCGATCTTCTGCCTGTGCTGAATCCATTGGTTGTTCTGAATGAAAGCCACAAGTTAAGGCTTTTGCGTCATTTGCTCGGAGACGAAGGACAGCGAAAATTTGACGA